GTAACACAATACTATCAGTGGTAAGGATGACCTTGATATAACTGTATTCTGTAGCCGCCACGCCTGCTTCTCGTATCTCTGGTTTCGTTAACAAGGGACCTTCGAGCACCAGCACCGCCAGTACTGCTATCATTTTTGGGCCAGTTTCAAGATCTGCATCACAATTGTTACATATGAAAGCATGCCTGAAAAGAAACATTATATTTAGCGCCTGATCCTAGCATGAATTTCATTTATAAGTATGCAATAGTTCTAAGACAAGGACTGATCATATCTGGCAACAAGACTAAACAGGGATTATATCATGATGGTTGTGCACAGTAGTACGTAGTAATATTATTATTATCATGCATAAGACCGTCACACTAAATACCCTGCATATCAACTTATGACACCACCACCACAGTAACCAAAACAGAGCAACATCAACCAGAAACCTGAAACAAAACAACATACAATCAATATCCATATTCAGCCTTACTACATGTATGTTTCTGGAGCAACAACTTCTTTTTGCTTTTCTAGACTCGGTCTCGAACAAGAGGAGACACGGAAGGTAAAAAATAGAGAGATCACATCTGACCCGACAGTTGACTAGTTGCATGCATATGCACGTGCAGGGCCATGCGAGGAATCAGATCCCGCCAGGTGGTTCCAAAACGGACTTTACCGAACCAGAGCACCATGGAAAAGGGCCTGTCAGCCTGCAGATACAAAGGGGGGAAGGGGACGAGATCATCCTTTTCTGCAGGGGCGGTGCGGATCAGTGGCGCAATGCGTTCGACCGGTCCTGTATGAAATCCAGAGCCCGGTCGAGCCCATGCAGGATGGTGGCGACATTCCTTTTTCTTCTTTTTTTGTTGTTTTTCAAGGTGGATACATCACATATACTTTGTACTCAGGCTGCGTTGGAGGGGTTTCGTGCGACGAACCATCAATGACTGTGACCTTGACAGCGGCAGCTCCGTTGCAGGTCTCGAACGAGGGTGGAGACAGCACAATCCAGATGTCATGCTGTCGTCTGTGACACCTTGATGACCAAGGGAATAAATATGATGTTGCCATGGTTGCTTCAGGGGCCCTTGTCAATAGAAAAATTGATAGATCGTGTGGCTTGACGTTGACTGACAACGTTTCTACTGACTTGTAATTCAGGCTTGCAATCTATTGGCCTGTTCTTGAATGAAACCTTGCCAGCCAGCAACTACTACGAAGTACTCATGCCCGATCCTCGATTGAGAGGTTCAGTACGTCATCTTCCAGGCTTAGAAGTCCCATAGCCCAGCCGGCTTCAGATGGGCGTCTGGCGACGGTAACAAAACGCCTTTCGCCGGGGTTACCCAAGGGTGTCTCTTGAACGGGTGGTGTCCACGTTGATGCCCGTTCGTACTCGGTCGTGTCTTTCCGCTCATACGGAGGTCCACGACCTTGTTTCGCAGCGACTCTCCACGCATTCTCACAACTGTTGGCTATAGATTCGGACGTCTTCCAACCACTCTTTTTGGAGAGACTGCGCAGCCTTGTTATGACCCAATCTCGTTGTGCGGGGTCGGTGTATTGAATTGCTGCGAAGAAGATCGGCACGGTCATCTTGATAAGACAAGATCCGAGTGTCGGGCTCAGACTCCCGGCGTCTAAATGAGATACTTGTGAGTTGTAGATCCCAGCCGCGATTCTTCCAATAGCCTGGGAGTATCCTGCCGTAGTCGGCGCCGCTACCTTTGCAGATACCATCATGGCGGGAGGCATCGATGGATGTAACCGATGTAAGAGAATTCGTCCGGTGAGGTAATATCCCCACAGAACGGCTATAGTATGTGTCCGGTACTGCAGAGCAAGCCCGAAAGGAGACGATATCGGGGTCACACTGTCGGGAGGCAGAGGCATGAAATACGGACCGAGAGCGCTTTCAAATGTGTCGAATGCCATCAACATACTCTCCCACTCAACCTCAGCCTCTTCGTATGAACTATTCCCGACGCTTTCATCATCGTAATGGCCATGGTGAGGAAAATCGACAAAGGCTGGTGGAGGATGTCTTGGTCCGCGGGGCGGAGCCATACCATAGAACGGCGGACCAGCCGCTGGCGCACCGGAAGGAGGCTGCACAGGGCCACCGGCCGACGGTCTTGCTTGCTGTTCCGGCGCCCTCCCTGTGAAACGAGCCATGAACCTAGCCAGTCTGGAATCAGGTCGCCACTGTGATCCCGTAGCCTCTGTTGCTCTCAGCTTCCGCTTTCTGTCCCGAACACCAAAGTCTGCCAGTCGTCCCAGTAAGAGCCACAGGTGATCCGCTGAGCCGTATATAGCATCCAGTCGACCCATTCCGGCGCGCGGGGGACACTGTCCCCATTGAGAGTACGAAATGCTGCTACTGTCAGTCTGATGGTACATAAATGAGAGATTGGGGATGTTACTGACAATAACGGACCGCCACTAATAATGCTCTGCATGACATCCTGCTGCAAATACCACCAATAGAGATCGCACTGGATACGAAAGTTTTCAATGTCTTTCCTAGTGAAATGTCTCTCGGGACGAGAGCTGGCTTGACCATCATCGACCTGTCCGAACTCGTCGTAACTGACAGCCCGGCCAATAAGGCTGCCTATCAAATCTTCGTCGATGTCATGTTCCTTTTCTGCGAAAGGGTCATCTTCTGAACCATAGCTGACTGAATATGAGGGTTCCACTATGGATATAACGGAGGATCCCCTGTGATGTCGCTCAAGCCACACCCTACGCCGCTGAGCACGCAGGCTACGGGTCATACCAGCAAAGTCAATCTCGCGCACCAGCTGAGCCGACCCTGCGACATGACTATTCCACTTGGAGTGATCGGCCCCCATTACTTCGTAGTATCCTAGCAAAAGTGTAGCAGCAAGAGTACTGATCTGCTTGCGCCGCATGGGTAGGCCAACTGCGACACCGACTCTTCTGAGAGCATAATGGTAGTGCTTCAGAGAAACTGTTGGCGGGGCCTGTTGCAGGTAAGCAATATGTAGGCTGCTCAAAGCTAGGATGGCCTGCAGTAATGGCTGATTCTCCAAGGCTTTGAGAGGAAGCGTATAGGTCCAGAGTCCCTGTTGTGCCATTGGGACCGGGGACCCCAACATGGTGGAAGGATCAATTGGATGCCGCTCAAAAACGGATAGAGTTGGCCCGGTCGAATGGATAAAATGCAAGAAAATGCGTGCTGTTTTGGGATTGTTCAATGGAGAGGAGCCATAAGTTGGAGAATAAGAGGTAAGTATGTTAGGCTCATTTAGGTATGTGGTGAAAGTTCGAAGCTGCTGCTGGTCGCGATTAGCGGATGCCATGATAAGGCTGAGCTGATTGTAATCTTGTGCCAAGGACTGCTCATGGCTCTCCTCGTCTGTATCAAGATCGTAATAGTCGTCTTCGCGTTCTTCTTCAACATTTGATAGTACCTGATATGAGGTTGGGGGTGCAAATCTTTCGCCGGGTGCCCGAGAAGATGTTTGCGGATATATTATGCCTGTATCAGTCTGGTACCGCGGCTCTAAGCCAGCTGACCGTTGTTGGTCCAGGAAAGCCAAGGTGTCTGCCGGCTCACGGAGTACTGGATATTCCTGTTGCGACAGAGTATGTGACTGCGGCTGGAACGGTGCTGCGCTTGGCTCCTGATACTCATGAGGCGCCGCGGCTGTGACAGGCTGGGGAGTCTGCTCCAAAGTTGCGGTTGCAACGGGCTTTGGAGCGAGGGCCGGTTGGCCAGACCAGGCTTGTCTTTGCTGGAAGACAGCATTATTGATATCCTCGCTGGGAGGTGGCACATTGAAGGTCTGTGAACTGATGGCTGCCGGTTGCGAGGAGGTACCCGTAATGCCCAATGGATCCTTGAAGACTAGGCGAGGGCCATAGCCCTTGCAATCGCGCTTTGACTTGATACAATTGTTACAAATGGGCTTCTCTTCGCCACATTTTATGCGACGTTGCCGACAAGCTATTAGGGCTGGTAAGCTCGAGTCGCTAAGACACGCTACGCTCACCGAGGAGACTCACTTAGACATCCAGACTTGGTGCGTTTCTTAGGCACTTTCTGAGTAGATCCACTGCCCGAAACCGCCGTCGTGGAGTCTCCCTGCACTTCCGCCGAAGTGTCAGGACCCGGCGCGGCCTTTGGCCCACTGGCAGATGGGTCTTGTAGTGATTTCCGGGTATGGTCGGTTGCTTGCATGGCGGCAGGGACTTGAGCGCAAGTTCGTTTCCATACTCACAAGACAGCAACCGATAGTCTGTAAGGCGCCTAGACTAGGTACCGAGTCAAGGATTCCGATGTGGAGACTCATAGCCTGTGGGTGTAAAGAAGAGCAGCAGCGAATAATGCGTGGGGAGATCCGACGGGGAAGTTCTGCCGCCCAGCCGATGCGTTGTGTGATTGGCTGAAATCCATAGATTGAGCACCTCAGGCAGTAAGGCTGCCCCGCTGGATGGAAGTCAGCACATCTTCATAATGCATTTTGAACAGTTGATATCGAGGGGCAGGTCATTAAGCTGATAATGTCTGTTGTATATGACCATAAGGAGCTGCTTGGTGGTGTCTTCGCCTTCAAACGGATCCATGTTTGGTCCTTATGATCGAATGATCTATGAGTCGCCATGACGGTTCCATCAAATCCTGAGCATCGATCCTAAGGTAGCCACCAAACGAAGATCATGTACAGCAACATAGCCCTTACCTCGAGTTGATTTATAGTCAGAACTGGGAGGCTGAAATTCACCTGACTATCACGACCCCAGATCGCAATACATTCCAAAAAGGGAATGGTGTACTGTAACCACTGTTCTGACCGCCCTTGTCGACACGGCAGAAAGCCGCCCGCTGCCATTGTCCGCCTTTTATTGCCAGAAATTTTTGGGATTTCTCCTCACCGTTCACGCCGATATTTCCGGTCTAGAGCCACCAGATTTTCCTTAGGGAGAGCCGAATCATTGGGAAGAGTTTTGCAGCGAAGGACTTCGTTGAGAACACAATTATGTTCGCCGTCCCAGGCTGGTCCCTCGAGACCTCTGCTCTCAAGCAGCAGCAGGCCGAAGCGTCCCAGAAGCAATCTTCATCCAAGAGCTCAACTGGGGCTAATAGTACCCCCATCAACAACAGGGATAAGAAGCGCAAGCGCGAAGATCATGTCACCAAGGGCAATGTGGATGAGATGTACCGTCGGCATATCGAGGGCCAGAAACCGACCCCCAAGGGCCAGAAGCAGAATGCGAACAACAATGCCGTGAAGGCTGATAAGAAGCCTAAGAAGGGTGGAGATGGCCAGGGAAAGCAGAGCCAGGCGACGAAAGAGCAGCCCAAAGAGAAGCCCGAGACTACTGGGGAGGAAGGAAAGCCCGCCAACAAAAAGCAGAGGAAGAACAAGAACAAGAACAAGGACCAGCAGCAAGAAGCTTCAACTGAGACTCCAGCCGCTGAGTCCCTGCCGGTTGCTCCACCGAAAACAGAAGCCATTCTTACTCCTCTCCAACAAGCTATGCGACAGAAGCTGATCTCATCCCGTTTCCGCCACCTCAACGAGACGCTATACACGACACCGTCTGCCAAGGCCTTTGAGCTTTTTAGCGCGAACCCGGAGCTGTTCGACGAGTACCACGCCGGCTTCTCTCGCCAGGTCAAGGAGTCCTGGCCTTCCAACCCTGTCGATGGCTACATCAAGGCCTTCCGCGGTAGAGGGGCAGTCCGTGGCCCTCCCAAGAAAGGAAAGTTCGACAACAAGCGGAATTCCGCTCTCGCGCTTCCTCGTCGGCCCAACGGGCTGTGCACCATTGCTGACCTTGGCTGTGGTGACGCCCAGCTCGCCCGTGCTCTGTTGCCTTCCGCCCAGAAGCTGAACCTCAAGCTTCTCAGCTACGATCTCCATGCCCCCGAGGGCTCTCCGATCACCAAGGCAGACATCTCCAACCTCCCATTGGCCGACGGCTCTGTCGATGTGACTGTCTTCTGTCTCAGTCTGATGGGCACCAACTGGGTCTCTTTCGTGGAGGAAGCATGGCGGGTCCTGCGCAGTGACGGCAAGGGCGAGTGCTGGGTCAGTGAAGTCAAGAGTCGCTTTGGTAAGGTGCACCGCAAGAAGGCACAGATTGGAGCGAAGAAGCCGCTCAGCAAGTCCGAGAAGAAGAAGCTCAAGAAGAAGGCCGATGATGAAGGCTCAGATGTGGATGACGCAGATATCTATGCTGAAGACGCTCGTCCGGCTGACAATGACGATGAGACGGATATCTCTGCTTTCGTGGAGGTGTTCCGCACGCGAGGCTTCGTTCTGAAGCCCGAGTCAGTTGACAAGTCTAACAAGATGTTTGTGAAGATGGAGTTCGTCAAGGCGGGTGGTGCTCCTACCAAGGGTAAATATGCCTCGACGACAGGCGCGGCTGCTGGTCCTGGAAAGAAGAGGTTCATCGACAGGTCGGCTCTCGCTGACAAAGGGATGACTGCGGAGGAAGAGGCCGCTGTTCTCAAGCCTTGTGTCTACAAGATCCGGTAGATAGCTGTGATCGGAACTTGGGTGTTACAATTACTAGCCATCTGTATATACTATGATATCATCGGCTGCTTGTTTGGTCATTAGAAAAAAGTTGGGTTGCAATTAAAAGAAGGCCGGGGCATTTAAGCATTCAAAGTCATTAGACGAGGTCGTTGTTCTTTTCTATGGATACCAAGACAATTACCAGTTCGGACAGGACGAACTATTGCTGATATACTCGTTGGCCCATTATATCTTCATGCTTAGAGGCCCTCCTCCCTTATTGGTTGCTGCCCAGCTGCGCAACAGCCCGACCCATCTCCTCATCATCGTAAATACGGAAGCCCTTCTCCTTAGTCACGCTAGCGAGCTGAACATTCTTCGCGTCCAGCTTCTCCTCCATGACCTGCTTCAGCGTCTTGAGAACCAGAGTCTCTGCCTCACCCAGCGTCAAGGAACGATGGTATTCATTCTGCAGCTCCGCCTGCGCACCCTCGCTTCCCGACCCGATAGCCTTCGCATCATATCGGTAGAACGTTCCGGACGGCTCCGCGTGGTATCTAAAATGAGCAGAATCGATCAGTACACACTCTCCAAGTAACAATCTCACAGCCCCGCAGGTGAGTAAGCAGGAAAACACCCAACATACAGTTGCGGACCATCCTCATCAATACCAGCAAGCAGCAAGGCGACACCGAAAGGCCGACTCATGACGCTCTCCTCGTCATCTCCCGTCTCTCCGAATCGCAGGGCCAGGTCACAGATGGCCTGGGTGCAGCTCTCGACTCTCAACGGCTCGGCGTAGTGGAAGGCATGGTTCTGGCATTCGACACGGGCGTGCTCGACCAGGGACCGGGCATCTGCCTGCAGACCGGACATGGCACAGCCAATGTGTTGGTCGATCTCAACGATCTTCTCGACGGAGGAGGCCTCGAGGAGGCTGGAGGTGACACGCTTCTCGACACCTAGGATGACACCTTCGGAGGTGGCGACCTAGAACTATGTTAGAAACTTTGAAGGGCATGAGTGTAGTTGATGGTTTGGAGCGGCTTCAGATGTAGTCGGGCAGGAACGGATGCACGTACACCGATCGCTGTTGAGCCCAGCTTGATAGCTTCGAGAGAGTATTCGACCTGGAACAAACGCCCCTCCGGAGAGAAGGTGCTGTTATCGCATGGTTAGACACTGTATGTATTCGCATTGCTATGCAGGAAAGGGGCATCAGAGTCGTACTTGATTCCACGGTCTGTCAAGGAAAGCTGTTAGTTAGATGACCGCATCAGAGGGGGAGGTCTGACGGAGCTTACCGTATTCTGAGCGGGCAATGAACATGTTGGATTATGTGGGAGATGTAATGACAATTAGTGGGATGGAGGCAAGGTAGGGAAGAATGGGGGAGAAAGACGAGAATGGGATGTAGGAGATAGAGGGAGGAGGGTAAAGTTGGCAGCAGCTCTTGGGGAAGCTCGGGCGAAGCTGTTGCGGTTGTCTACGCAAGTCCGGCGAGTGCCTGGCGGAGAGGGCGGTGGCTGCCCCAGGCCGCAGTCAGGCATCCACGGCGACTGTTTGCTTTGCCCGGATGGAACCCAAAACTACGGCTTCGGGACGTGTAGTCCGGGTCCAATGGTTGCTGTTTCTCCCCCGGATTTGAAATTACACTCGGTTCACTTCATTCAATGGTGTTAGTGGCACAGGCTGCATGATTGTCCCTCCTATCTTCCTCGACCTTGCGGGACCATGTCCGTCAATGAGCGTCGCGCCAGCTACATGAGCGCCCCGAGACCCCGCGTTGCGTCCAACCGCGTCGCCGACGCTGAGAAGCCCGGTCTGCGCAGCGCTGCTTCCCCCTTGCAATCGGAGAATATAGACCATCGCGGGAGCACCTCCAGCCAGAAAACCAGATCGTCCCGCGACCAACAACCTATCGTCAGCGACAAGCGTACCGAGCGAATGGCGATGCATACGCGAGACAAGTCCCAAGTCCGAACGAGAAACCCGGTCAAGGAGTCGTCCAGTGCAGGCAATAGAGGTGAATTCATGGAGAGGTCCCGATCTAAACGAGGACCGAGTCAACCCGAGGGGGCCAGTCCCAATTCCCGAAAGAAAGATAAGCAACCGGTGGAGAGTCAGTTTCACTCCCTTGAGCTACTGGCGGGTATAGAGATGTTCGCGCGCTAACTATATATTGCTCCAGCTCCATGGAACCCTCAGGCTTCGTTAATGCCCCATTCCACAGCACCGTTAGCTAGTCGAGTATCGTTTCCTCCTTTGGCTTCCGCTCTGCCTCAGTCGCTTCAGCCAACACCGCTTCGCGAGCTCTCAGCCGATGCGCAGGAAAAGGCGATACTGGAGGATTTGCTATACGTTTTTATGGGATTTGAGGGCCAATACATTCATTACCGGTCATATGACCCGTCCCAGGAGAAGGACAGGTTGACCGGACCTTCTTTCCAGCTACCCTCGGGAATGGACCCGACCCTAAAGGAGCTTACACTATCGACCTTAAAATTAGCGACTCATTACAGTGCGCTAGAATCATTTGTGGAGGTACAGAGCCGCGCAGAATACGGAGCAGTCAGCCATGCACTATGTGCGACGATTCGGAAATTACTCAAGGAGTACCTGGTCCTCGTCGCCCAGCTAGAGCACGAATTGCTCAACAACCCGAGCTTCACGCTACATGTTCTTCATTTACACCTCATGCCGACGAGCCAATGTTTGGCTCAGCTGTATACTTTGGGTCAGGAGCTACTTCGACGGAACGGGCTTTTAGATCAGGATCTCGACGAGTCAATCGACGATTTTGACGATGTGGACAATATACTGGAGCAACTCAAGGAAGGTGGAGAGCTTGTGCCTGGAGCCATGTCTAGCAAGAGGATCTGCAAAGGCGGCAATGTTTTGCGGCTCCTTACTGAGCAGCTGACGACATTCTCGGGTGACCCGACCACGAAAGCTCTTTTGGAAAGGCTGCTTCGGGATGCCAGTCGGCCGTACATGACAATGCTTAATGAATGGTTACACCATGGAGGTATCAAGGACCCACATGGCGAGTTTCTTGTCAAAGAGCAAAAGTGGATCAAGCGGGAGAAGCTCGAGGAAGATTACACAGACGAATACTGGGAGAAGCGATATACAATTTGCGAAAACGAGGTTCCACCACAACTGGAAAGCGTCAAGGACAAAGTCCTTCTGGCCGGAAAGTACCTGAATGTCGTGCGAGAATGTGGTGGTGTCGATGTTAGCAAAGCAGTGAAAGATGTTCCGAAAACCCTCGACGACCCTCGCTTCCTAGAAAACGTCAACGCAGCCTACACGTATGCCAACGCATCGCTGTTGAATCTCCTTCTCACGAAGAATTCCCTTACGACCCGCTTCCGTTCCCTCAAGCACTACTTCTTCCTAGATCGGTCCGACTTCTTCTCATACTTTCTCGAGCTCGGCGCATCTGAACTACGCAAGCCTGCGAAGAATGTCAATGAGAGCAAGCTCCAGTCGCTTCTCGATCTAGTATTGCGACAACCCGGGAGTATTGCAGCTCAGGATCCATTCAAGGAAGATGTCAAGGTCCGAATGAACAAGGTCGGGCTCACGAAATGGCTGATGCAGGTTGTAAGCGTTTCGGGTATCGATCAGGATAACCCGGAGGCGGCAATCGAAAAATACCAAGCACCTACAAGCCAGGGTGCAGAGGATGACAAGGATATATTGGGCTTCGATGCGTTGGAGCTGGATTACTCTGTTCCTTTCCCGCTATCCCTTGTAATCAGTCGCAAAACGGTTCTCCGGTACCAGCTGATTTTCCGACACATCCTGTCACTCCGTCACATTGAAACCATGCTTGTCACATCGTGGCTAGACCAGAGCAAGGTCATTGCCTGGAGGCACAAGTCCTCTGACCGACGACTCGAGATGTGGAAAAGGCGAGCGTGGAACCTGCGGTCCAAGATGTTGGTCTTTGTCCAGCAGCTCCTCTACTTTTGCACGGCGGAGGTTGTAGAGCCCAACTGGCAGAACCTTATGGACCGAGTAAATGGCACTGATGCCGATGGCTCCGAGGTGACTGTCAATGGCACCAAACAAGTCAATCGCACTGTGGACGAGCTGATGCAGGATCATGTGGACTTTCTGGATACATGCCTCAAGGAATGCATGCTGACGCAGGCTAAGCTGCTCAAGGTTTGTCAATAAGCCTACTATGATCGGATCCCTACTAATCATCGTCCAGATCCACCATCGACTCATGACCTGCTGCACCATGTTTTCCTCCTGGGCTACATCCTCTCTTGCGCGTGCGCTTGCTTCAGCGGACCCTGACTTGGCGGGAAACAAAGCCGCTGGTTCAGATGGGCGAGGATATGACCCGTCGCGTATCGACAAGCTAGAGGAGACGCTGCGTCGATGCGAGGAGCATTTCAACCGGCATCTGCGGATTCTGATGGACAGGTAAGAATACCTTTCATGCTGTTGACGACAACGCTAATGGTAATGTAGCTTGAACTACTACGCCGCGACTGAAAGTGTCGTTCTTCTTAAGCTGGCGCATGCCTTGAGCGCGATCAGTAAAGACGACTGAAGCGAGAACCTTACTATCTCCACTGAAAGGTTCCGAGGGTAACCTCACCACTTTCGCAGTTTGGAATAACATTCAAGCCAACAATCCTCCACAGCACGCGGCGACATCCAGCACCTAACACAGCCGTGCCAGGTCGCCCCTTGATGAGGGACTTTTACAGGCCAACCCATAAGCCATATAGGCCGCGCTTGCGAACAGCAGTGCAGAGACAAATTGGGAGTTTCTGCACACAACCTCACCTCACTCCTCCACCCCCTCTATAGTTTTTTTGTTTTATTACCTATGTGTTAGCCACGGCAGGGCTGGAGTATCAGGAAGAAAGACGGACGGACGGGACATGCTTGACGCCCGATGATGATTTGCGAATACCCACTACTCTACTGAATAATGCAATGCAATGAATGACCAGATTATGAACGAACAGAAATACATCTAGATTTCCGCCCCGAATGATCCATAGTCCCGTTCTATGGCAATGAGTCAATAAGGCAACCCGGAATCGGAATCCCTCGGATGGAATTCCCGACCGTGACTGCTGTCATCCAGTAATGAGTATCGCAACGCTTACCAGAAGAGTATTAGCTTTGCATCATTTCTTTCCATAGGAAGATAAAGATAGTGACAGTAAGCTCGCATCTCTCACCATCTAAGACATGTAGAATATAAGCCTGCGAACCCGATAGCGACTACATCGGAGAATAATAATAATAAGCACGGCAAATATTGATGCATCAGATCACCTGCCGGTGACATGATCTCACTTAATAGAGGAATGAATGAATATATGAACCCCTTGTATCCCTCCCATTTCCCCTCCCCCTCCCCCTCACTGCACCATCATCGTGACATCTAAACACCATACCATCTTACCTATACAAACCCCCCAACAACCAACCCTCCACCCAAACACCAACACCAACACCAACACCACCAACATCAAGAATACACAACCATCAAAATGCCCTCCCTCCTCACAACCCTCAAATCCACCCTCCCCCTCCCCATCCCCCAATCCTGGCTCCAATCCCCATCCCGCACAACAATAACACTAACCACCCTAACAACCCTCCTCCTCCCCCTCCTCTACAAGAACTACAGAACCTACCTATCCTACGGGCCCGGCGGCGCCCCATACAACCTCCTAGGCTGGTTCGGGGTGACATTCCTCCTCTACCCATTCGGACGCAATATGACCAGCACAACCATCTACGAGAAAAAGATCGCGAACGGCGAGACGCAATCATACCTCTCCGAAGACACGGTAGATCTGCTAAACGCTTTGAAGAGGGAGAAGAGACCCGCTGTCGGACCGCATTATGTGCCGCAGCGCCAGGTGGAGGAGTTTGCGGGGGAGGAGGTGAAGATGGTATCCATCCATCCATCCCTTTTGCTTAATACTGATTGATCTCTGTGGTATATCCAATGAGAAATGGAAAACTAGACTAATAGTATGTGTGTAGTACCTCGACTCACAATTCTACGCCCTCGCGGAACAAAACCCGCAATTAGTGAAAGTCGCCGATTCGCGATTGGAAACGCATGCGGGTGCGATATTCCTGGCGACGGAGGAATTGGCTAATAGGAATGGAACGACGAGGAAATTGAATGGCGAGTGTGTGCATGTCCATCGCTTGAAGGATTATTCGTTTCATATGGTTTTGGCCCCTGCCGATTGTGGGTTCTTCCTTTTTTTTCTTTCTTTTTCGGGTTTTGACTGTGTTTGGATTATCTGTGTTTGGATGTGTGGATGAACTGGTCTCTTTGTTTTCTGGGCACTGGTGCTGATTTCTGCAGGTAAGAAAGTTTTCGATGCTGGCTGGGGTCAGAGACATGGCTTCAGTGGTGTGAAGATCCCCAGGGCTTTGATGGGCGGGAAATTGATCCAATTGCCATCTGAGTATGTGTTGATCTATGCGCCGAGGACGAAGGAGGAGGTTGCTTTGGTGCTGGGTCTTATGAAGGCCAGTCTGAGGTATTTGACTGGCGAGGAGATGAAGTGAAGAAAGCATATTACGAAGGAAAGGAAGTACTCGGCAAGGTCGGGTGTGTTACGTATAGCATGACCCATTGTATAATACGCTAGTCAAATTTTGTACGCTAAAAAAAAGAAGAAAGCGCCCCTCTCTCACTCATGTGAACTCATATATTTTTTCCTGCATAATAAGGTGGTGATGATCAGGGCACCATGGATTACTAGTTCCGAGACGGACACTTTGAGACGCATATTCCAATTCTGAGAACCTTGCAGTGGATTTGCCAAAAACGATAGAACGAGAACACCTACCTTCAGCACTACATAACGCCCCTCATCTATTAGATATTCTTCACGATCCTTCAGACTTCAAGTCTGTTGACAGTAGCACTACTGACAACTGCCGCAAGTATAGTGGGCACTGCCCCAGGGCACTAGCGGGCCTAACCGCCCCGTAGATAGGCCCCGACGGCAGGCCTTCCCCTACCCGAAGCTGAACCATGGTTCTGGGTTTGCCGCCAACTATCTGCGTGCCCTGTGCCCATGTCCTCTTCCCATGTCAGACCCGACGGCATGGATGCTCTAATCTCAAGCCCGTCTGACGGCTTGACATGCATGACCTCCCTGTCTGCATGCATGGGTTGCGCTCGGGGAATATCATGGCCACATCAGTGCACGCTCTTGGCACAAAGCTAATGGAACAGACGGGTCGGCCATTTGTCCCCATCGAAGCCACCAGCAATTCGGCTGAATGGCAAACCGCGTTTCATGTGTCACCTCTGCGGAGCCCGGCCGTTCGTCACAGGAATGCTTTCTCCTCGGGTTTGAGTCTCCTAATGTATTCGAGACTGGGTCACGGTATTGGGGAGAGGAAGGAGTCAGATCCGGACCTGATATGGGGACAGTGCTGTATCGGCCGTTTCCCAGAACAGTTGTGTCTTAAAGTCTCCGCATCCATTTAGGTCCCGATCATCTGTCGCTCAGTTGGACTCAAAGTCACTGTTCATTCGCCACGGGAGACGCCATTGGTCTGTCCTTCAGGGGCGGTCGCACGCCAAAAACTCTGCCAGCCTCGACGTGAACCGGCCATCTCAGGTTGCTGTAGGTCGCATTTACTAAGCCCTTAGATCATTGCGCGATACCAAAAGAAGCGGTGAGTGTGTGGATGAAGGGCGAGTGTCATAATAAGAAGGGGCAAGAAAATCCTGCATCGAAATTGGCCGGGCTAGTGGCAGACTTAGCACCTCCCCGACCTTTTAGATTCGCCTACCTGTGCTTTACAATCGTTCAGCAGACAACCCCACCTGTTTTAGCATTGATGCCGTCATATATTATGTCCCTGAATATCTTGTATGTTAGTAGAAAACCCAGGTAGTCGCCGTGATGGAGAGTCGCTTCTGCCTTGAAGGTGACAGCGGGACGAAGCCAGGAATCCCGACGGCTCTGCGCCTCCAAACCCCGAGAAATCTTTGGCCTCCAATAAATGCGACGGGACTAGGTGACCCTAACTTTGAGTCTTTGACTGGCTCCTTGAGTGGAGCTCAGAATTTTTGACAGTTTCAACCCCCTCCGGCCTCGCTTTGCTTCCCCCCTCCCCTGTGCATGAATATGGTCATACAGAATGTGACCTATGAGCGGCTGAACAATGCAGTTCATTCGTAACGTCCCACCACCTCATTTGCCTGGGTGCAGCCTCGCACACTTACAGTCAGGCTCATATCTGAACCAGGTGGATCACAAGGCTGTCATCTATAGTTGCTTGACAAAAAAGATTCTCTGTGTGGCTATCAAGTTCTTAGTTTGTGGCTTAGGAAGTAGACTCACTAGTACTTGGCTTGGCTCATGCGACACAGCTTCCTTTGCATCTGAGCAGGCACGATACGAGCCTAGTAACAACAACAAACTTTCTGCGCCCCGGTCATCGCGAGGAAGACAGCGCGAATCCTTCGCCTTATGGACAAGGTAAACGAGCCGATGAATGGTCAAAGCCATTGTGCCACCGGCCTTCCAGGTTTGCAGCCGGTCGTGGCCTACAGGCTGGGCCCAAGGAGTCATCCTGGGCTACCCATATGCTTATTCTGTCGGAATTGTTGACCCCTCCGGAAGGGACTATCAGCCCCTCCTTCCCCTGCGCCATAGTAGCAATCTATCCAATGCCCGAATAGGCATGTATTCGACTCAAGCAAGGCGTACACCCAACAATCCACGAAATAGTGTAATTAGATCATGGATTATCCTGAGTCCGGTCTTGCCTGCTCGGAAATACGTTTCAGGACCAACCTGCCAATGATATATGGTTTTTGGTCTTTCTGCCCCCAGTCAGATGCTTGGTCCTGCATAGAGCGGAAATTTCCACCATCCGTACTAAAACGTACGGACGCTGAGTCCCGCATAGTAAGTACTCCCCCAGCTCGTTCAGCGAGGCCAAGATAGTACTTCCTTGTCTGTGCCCAGTGGGACTTTTATCGCCCTCCGAATTCTGGTGCGTGCCGCATCAACCGCTTTTGGAACATCCACTGAGCACACAGCCTCCATTGCATCTTCTCCCACATTATAGAAACCCCTTTTGCACTGAATTTCTTTTGCCACACATCAACATAACCACCTCAACACATATACAGTTTCCCTGGGGAACGAAATAACGATGACGTACACAGCCCGTTGCCATAACCCGTGCGTGCTGTCAGGAGAGACTAACCTTCTTCCATCAACAAGGAGCCCTGACTCGCAGACGGAAAATTTGGACGAGACGTATCGGCACACAATAACCGTTCACGGACGCGAATACCAGCAATACTCGATTGATAATGAGATATCATTTCAGCCAGTTGATCGTGTAGAAGCCAAGAACCTTGCGCCACAAAAGGCCATGGCTGACTTCCCTCTTACTAGGATGAAGCGAATCGGCTCGAGCTCCAGAATAAAGTCTTCAACAAGATCTTTGATAATCGGCTGATCTTCCCGCGAAACTGTGAGCCTCAAAGAGTTCTTGACTGTGGTCACGGCGCGGGGTCCTGGGCTATCCAGGTAGCAGAAGAATTTCCAGAATGCGAGGTTAGATCCGGGCAAGTAGCGCTGTCATTTTCTGAATGACTAACGGCATAACTCAAATAAAGGTCATCGGTGTTGATATATCCCCTCATATGATACCAGATGGCGACGATGATGATTTTGATGTGGCGGAAAATTTGGAGTTTCAAGTAAGGCTCCTTCTTCTCTCCTGACACCTATGAGCGTGCCTCTGCACAGTGCCAGAGCACACAATCCCTCTCAAAATTGAAACCTATGTTTGTCAAACTGTCCCAATCCAGATGAATCTAATCTTTGATTCCGTAGGTCGACGATCTGAACCGGCCCTTTACCTTCCCCCCTAGATATTTCGATCTCGTCAATTCGAGGATGATGGCAACAGGTATCGATGGATCCCGATGGTCGTCATACATACAAGACATCAAAAGGTCCGGTTGTAAGGAGCGGGCCCTAGGGTCACGGATGCTGTGAAGATAATGCGAGACTGACTTCAAGGTGGAATAGAGTTCTGAAACCAGGCGGTTGGGTGCAGTTGGTCGAGATCTACTTCAACGTCCAGTCGGACAACGGTTCGCTCACGGAGAAGCACGCATTGAGACAGTGGAGTACAAAGCTCATGAGCTCAGTGGAAGACGTCAAAGATCTTCGTGTAGGCACCCGCCTCAGAGATCTCCTGCTAGCAGCAGGGCTGAAGGAAGTCGAATCCACGATGATACCTGTCCCCCTCTGCGAATGGTCCAGCGGTGAGTTCTTCCAAGCCAGTATTAGTGGAAAGACCTCTGACAATCCAGTAGAACCGAGGATGCGGGACATAGGCAAAGCCAGCCGCAAGATCACCAGACACCTGCTCACCGCAGTAGCACTCTACCCCTTGACCCAACGCCTGCACATGTCGCACGACGAGTTTCAGCAGCTGATCGACCAAGCACAGAAAGAGGCGGAAAACCCGAGCCTGAAAACATATTTCCCTTTGTAAGTGGGTCGTTCGAATGGTCCAAATTCAGGCTGACGATTCAGGTACGTTGCTATCGGACGAAAGCCATCATAGAGGGTCTTATGGTTGGAGTAGCGGTCTTGCAAATGCAAAATTGGGGACGCAGCAGATCGGGGATATCGTTGGGGTGCATTGATGGGAACCGGTACTGTTTGGGTATTGACTTCGAGGCCGGAGTTCGAGATAAGCTAGACAATGCCCAGCCAAAGAAGCCCCTTCACACATTTTTCCTCCGCAATAAGCTTTCATTTGATCAGCAGATTTAGAGCCCCAGTATACGATCACGCATATTCCGAGGACTCTCCATCCCAGTGATCTTCTTTGAAAGCCTGTTGTGACGCCAAGAAGTTTCCAGACGTTTTTAAATCATCGTGGTCGAGTCCTGCGGGCCACCAAAGCCGTCCCAGGCCTGGACAAGCATAGAATTGCCGGAGTAATGAGTCCAATGGTACTGGTGAAAGTGATGGAGTTCACTTGAGGTATCTCGAGCGATGCACTAACGGATTGGGTTCGGGATCTGGCTGGACTTGGCTTCTACTAAATCAAGAACAGGAAGGAGCTATGCGGACAGGGCAGGAACCATGCTCATTGCAACTGACTGGACAGATGAATAGAGAGACAAACGAAAGCTGTCCATTACCACCATTGCTGACGACCACCGATGAGGGGAGTGATGGGCCAGCCACCACTAATAAAGAATCACCCCACCAAGAGGGAATTGCCGGTGGTAAATCGGGTGGCTCAATTAGCTCATCTCGGAAGATGAATTGCGGATATTGAACGAGTCATGAATGGGGAGGGAAAGAGCAGAGCTAACACTCCAGGAGTGACTTTGAAATGATGGAACCACAAGTTTCAGGGACACAAAGGGGTAAATCAAGGAGGAAGAAGAAAACAAGATTTACGGCGACGAGATGAGAGGAGGAAACAGCGTTTCGGGACGGAACCAGAGCCACGGGTCCAGGTGTGCCTGAGTCCTGCCCACGGACTGACTCGATCAGAAATGACCGCCCCAAGATAAGCTCAGGCCCAGATGCTCTCCTCGCAGCGACCCGCGTCTGGATAATAACAGTCCGCGAGGACTTCTTTCAAGAGCAAACGGGGCAAGACAATGGTCTACGCAGTCATTGCCAGCCCGTCCTTAATGGATCGAGCCCCGTCGCCCCATTTGGGGTGCTCCTTTGGGCCTTGACGCGATGGTAGCCTTGACCTATCCTACCAGCAGAAAGGACTCTTACTGCTGCATATTTACCGGAGCATGTACCTCGCTCTGTTACTACAATAGACTGGCCATGGGTGCTTATTTGGCGTTTCCACATCCCCCTTCGCCCATTAATCTCCCATCATTTCAGTCCGATTTAGAGCAGACTGCCGCACAAGCCCCAATGATACCCAGGGCCGCTCACAGGAGCCATTGTCAACCAGCCAGGTTCAAGGAATGCTCAATGACCACTTCAAGCCGAGGAGCGATGATGGCAAATCCATCATAGCCCGAAACATCCAGGCAGGCCGAAGTCATACAGCTACCCATTTTCATGGAATGAACACAGATCTTTGGTGACCCGCTTTGGCGATGGGCCCAAATGGGTCGGGATCAGAGAATAGCAGCACGTCGCTTAATTAAACGGGGGCTTCTCCGTAATTCTACGAGAAGGTCGCACCAACCACCAGGATTTGATACATCAAATCCCCGTATCATATCGATCGAACAACCAAAAGCGTCCCTTACTGCAGCTGGTTTACCCGTCAGACATGTTGGACCTCTCCCTTGCGCGATGGAATGCCTACAAGAATTAGTGAATGATCAGAAACATGCCCCATAGCCCAGACCGTAGTGACGCCGTAGCCACCCGTAAGAGCCTCCATCACACAGACGCTCGATCATCATCTCAGTCGCGCTTGGGCGCTTACGGCGGGAATCTCATACAGGCCTTGGTGCCTTATTACAACCTTAATTCACAGGCATCAATAAGTTACCCAATCGGGTAAGCACCCGCGGGGACTCAGAAAAAGTTGGCCGCCATTCGATCATCAACTCCAAGTCTCTCTCCATCACCGTCGCAGATCACAAGAGCCACCCCTGGACTCATCATGCCTTCCACCTACAAGAGGGACAAGCCGTGGGACACGGATGACATTGACAAGTGGAAGGTATGCTCTACCACACAAAATGCCAAACATCGAAAGTCTCCAACCAGTCCGAAACTAACTGCAAATTTGTTGCGACCAGGTCGAACCCTTCCAACCCGATGACAATGTCGCCGGTAGTTTTGCTGAAGAATCTTCCTTCGCCACTCTGTTCCCCAAGTACCGTGAAGTCTACCTGAAGGAAGCATGGCCCGTTGTGACAAGAGCGCTCGAGAAATTCGGTATTGCCTGCACGCTGGATTTGGTCGAGGGTAGCATGACCGTCAAGACGACCCGAAAGACGTTTGATCCTGCTGCGATCCTCAAGGCCCGTGATTTGATCAAGCTGTTGTCGAGAAGTGTGCCGGTGCAACAGGTGAACAACCCTGAATTATGATTCTAAGATCACCCAATAGATCAACCTTCTAACACATCAATTTAACAGGCTCTCAAAATCCTCGAAGACGACGTCGCATGCGACATCATCAAGATCCGCAACCAAGTCCGCAACAAAGAGCGCTTCGTCAAGCGTCGTCAACGTATTCTCGGCCCTGGTGGTTCCACCCTGAAAGCCTTGGAGCTGCTTACAAGCACCTACATCCTGGTCCAAGGTAACACGGTCGCCGCCATGGGCCCTTACAAGGGTCTCAAGGAAGTCCGTCGCATCATCAACGACTGCATGGCCAACATTCACCCGATCTACCACATCAAGGAACTCATGATCAAGCGCGAACTGGCCAAGGACCCCACTCTGGCGAACGAATCCTGGGACCGCTTCCTGCCCAACTTCAAGAAGCGCACGCTGTCCAAGCGTCGCGTGCCGTTCAAGGTCACCGACAAGACGAAGAAGGTGTACACTCCTTTCCCTCCGGCACCGGAGAAGAGCAAGGTGGATCTCCAGATCGAGTCGGGCGAGTACTTCCTGTCCAAGGAGGCGAAGGATCGGCAGCAGAAGGAGGAGGTCATGGAGAGACAGCGGTTGAAGCGCGAGGAAAAGATGAAGGAGCGCGAGAAGGCGTTTGTGCCGCCCGAGGAGCTGGACGCTGCGGAGGAGAAGAAGAAGGAGAAGAAGGAAAAGAAGGAGAAGAAAGAGAAGAAGAAGCGGAAGCGCGACTCCGAGGCCGCGGATGTAGATGGCGACGATGGTGCCGAGAAGAAGGAAAAGAAGAAGAAGAAGAAGTCCAAGTCGAAAGAGGATGCGTCGGATGGCGAGGCGTGATGCTGCTCCTGCTGCAGTTGCTGCCTTCCCCTTTTGACCTGATATCCTCTGTCGGTCTCTGTTTTCTTTCCTTTGCTTCGGTTATCACCCTTCGTATACTACGTTCGATATATAAGGCGCTTAGGCATAGCATGGGCTGGAGTTTTCTTTCACTTTATTCTTCTCACTTATGCCCCTTGCTGTTGTTTGGGAAGGGGTAAAAAAAAGCCTGTATTGAGTGGGATTGGTCATGTATAACTTACTGAGTTGGGAGCTATTAGTTCTTCCAACTGGCTTTATCTGATATGGTACGAGAATTAAATAGTTCATGATTGTTTCATACTAGCGAACCCACACCACTCGTACAATCCCCATCGCATATAATACCCCCATCAGCCCTAACCAAACAACTTCTACTAAGTGTCAAATACATAACCAAAACCCTCACTACCCAAACAGAAAACCTACTCCTCCACCTCCTCCTCCCTCCCCTTCAAAAACACCCTCTGTTCCTCCCTACTCACGCCCAAATCCAGAAACACAACCAAGAACCCAAAACTAAGCACACTCAACGCAAAAAGAAAGTAAAACGGCATAGAGCTATTCCCCGACGGCGAGGCATCAATAATAGCGCTTGAAACGAGCGGGCCAATAAACGAGGACGTCTTGCCCACGATACTGAACAGACTGAAGAAGAGGAATTCGTGGCCGCGAGGCGTCACTTCCGATATCATTATCTGGGAGTAGCTGTACCACGGGCAGACGAAGAGGCCGTAGTAGGCTTGGTAGAGCTAGAGCATCTTTGTCAGATGGTGGGTTGGCTTGATTTAATGATTGGGGGTATATAATGTGATAATGAAGCAGGTAGAAGGGGAGATGGGGAGGGCTCACCCAGACTTCCCAGAGATGATGGAAGCCGAATTTCTGGGTCCAGATGCCTATCATGCCCCAGCCGTCGAGGAGGATGATGGCGATGGCGATCAGATTGAACATGGTTTTGGTGCTGAGGTTGAGGCGTTTTTGGGCGTACCAGAAGGCGTAGATGCCGATGGCTTGGGCTGCGATGCCGACTAGGAGGAGGTAGGTTAATTGGAGGGTGTTGTAGGAGACGATGCTGTTTTGTAGGGTCGATATGACGGTCACTGTTGTGTTGAGGGAATCGCCGAGGAGGAAGTAGCCTGTAGTATGTATGTCAATGGACTGAGTGTGATCTACAGGAATGAAGATATCATCTATACCAATGAGATATATAACGCTCTGTTTCAACTTCCAGACCTGTCTCGCCGCATGGACGAGCTGCTTCAACCCGGCAATAACAATATTGCTTCCCTGGGGATCCTGTCCTGGGCGTCTCTTCTCCAGGGCAAACCACGGTAACGAGACAAGAAGCCATACGCCACTAGCGAAAGCTATAAGGACGCTTAATCCCCAGTTATTGTTGCTTTCGCTAGCATCGACGTTCAATGCGAACATAATCCCCACAATAACAGCTAGCACGAACAGCTCTCCTACCGATTGCACATAGAAAGCAATATTGGCAAGCTGACTGCGCTTCATCGTGTCAACATGGTCGTATTCGTCTCTGGAAATACTTCCCGCGACGTATTGCTCTGCGACGTCCTTCATTTCCTTCGTGTTCCGCGCGAGACCCGGAAACGCTGCCGTCCAGAACGTTAGCGTGGTCTGGTAGGCGATCAGCCCGACGATGTATAGTCCGACTCCGACGTGCCATTTGTCGGCTTCGTGTACACCCAGCCAAGCGAAGCCGATGGCGTATGCGACGACCGATAACACGATCAGGATGTTGGGTCTCCAGTTGCCAAAGTCTGCGAAACTGCCGATTATGAGGAAGAGGACGACTTGGATGGCAAAGGAGATGCCGTTGCTTAGCAGTACGATGCTGTCTATGGATCGTTGTCTTCCGGCGAAGTATAGGGTGCCTTGATCGCCTGCAGCCTGGGAGAGGAGGTTCTGGCAGGCAGTGGGTGCAAAGTCGGTATTTGCTGTTAGCTTTCTCTGTGGGAAAATAGCCGCGAATGAAATATGATGGCTTACTGAATAGAGAGAGGCCATTGTTGCCTATGTAATAACTGATAGCTGTTGTTTAGTACCAAGTACACGGAATATTGTCTATAACGCACGCATAATAAGCCCAGATCTCCCATCTGGTTGTGCGATATTTGTCCTCGACCTGGTCGGGCGCAACTCGTTGCTCGACATCTTTGTCCTGGTCCAGTTCTTGCACCACATTCAATTCTTTAGGGTTGTGTTCGTCTTGAGAAGGTGGATGATTGGAGGAAGAGTTAAGAGAAGACATTTTCAGGATTGCTTGACAAACACACACCCTCTCACTCTGGTTTGTGAACGAATGCACGCTTGCAATGATCCTGGAATGTAGCGGGGGTCGACCCCGCGCGCAATTCCCCGGACGAACCAGTAAAGCGAGGCAGATAAGCCGATAAGACGATCACACCAAATGCGGGCCATGAAGGCATTCCGGGCCAGCTGCGTCATTCTGCAGTCTTTGAGTATGTGGTCTCTACAACTGTCTTTTCGGACACGATGATTTGGATCGAGATGCTCAAGCGGCTGGTATTCTATTGAGACATATGACTTTCTGTGTCTATCTACAATAGGATTTATAGAAAAAGTAGCATTATATACATGCGAGATGCTTTCTACAGAAGATATGCTCGCCAAGCTCATAGCTTGGCTTGCCCGCTTTCTATCGATGCCCAGCTCTGCTCATCGAGTTTCTGGTAGACTGTACCATTCAGCCAGTACAGCTTATCACCACCCCAATCCGTCCGAGGGTCCCAGCCCTTCTTGGTCAACGCTCCCTTGGCTTGTTTGAACGTAACTCCCGTTTCCACCCTGAAAAGAGGTTAGCAAAGCCAAAGTCTCATAGAAGGCAGAAGGTACTTACTTTTCGGTGAGTCGGACAAGACGTGGGAATGCATAAGATGGCACACCCTTCTTCTTCAAGTCCGAGTAAAGTCTGGCCATGAGACTTTCCTCAGTTGCGGGTGAGGCATCCTCCAGAGTGATACCAGCCGCGCCGGCTTGACCATCATACCTGACACTCTTTGTTAGCTATCTTGTCCTAGTGTAATTCCTTAAGCTAGGGACAATCTTGGTATCATACCCATTCAGCTTCACGCCATAAACAACCGCATCATGGACGGATGGTATCCGACAGATGTGATCTCTAATCTCTCCAGCGCTGACATTCTCTCCCTTCCAGCGGAAAGTATCACCCACACGGTCCTGGAACCGGACCCAACCATCGTGATCCCTTACAACCAAGTCACCAGTGCGTTGGAAGAGGTCACCCTTCTGGAAAACATCCCGCAGAAGCTTCTTCTCAGTCGCATCCTCATTGTGTAGGTACTCGGTCAGCAAGCCGCGGCTCTTGACCCGGCCGATTGCCTCTCCCTCTTCACCAAGTTTAGCTGGAACACAGAATCCCGTCTTGGGATCGCGGTAGGGCATCTCCGTCTCGGTATCGTACTTGACGATGAACGTATCGTCTTCGAACCGTCGCTTAATGGGGCCGGAAAATCCCACCTTTCCAGCACCCCATGCTCCTTCACCCCAGTTGTCAAACTTGGCCACGCCTTCCGTTGACCGATAGAACTCGCGAATCTCCGGGACTCCAAAACGTTGGCGGAAGCGCTCCCAAATTTCTCCGCGCAACCCGTTGCCACTCGCGACAATGCAGTTATGATCACGATCATAAGGGGATGGTGGTGTTGACAGCAGATATCTGCAGAGCTCGCCAATGTATAGGATGCGTGTGGCTTTCGAGTCATGAACGTCTTTCCAGAACTGAGAAGCGGAAAACTTGCGCCGAAGGCACAGAGTGCCTGCGTTTCCAACTGAATAACAGAGACCAGTGAAAAAGGCCGTACCATGGAAAAGTGGGAGAGGGGAGTATGTGCGCAGGGGGTAGTACTTGGAGCGGTCATCGAGGTCGGTCGTGTTAGGGTTGGACGTGACAAGAACCATCATGTTGCGGATGGCACAGGCCTTGGGCTTGCCTGTCGTTCCCGAAGTGTAAATCAGCGATGTCAAATCGCTGATAGATCTCTTAGCGGGGGTTGTCGCAGACGGTGAGTATTGTTGTAGATCTGAAGGTGTGATCACTTGAATTTCTCCCGTAGAGCTGCCATCAAAGGAACCTAGGTTCAGAGCCAAATGAGGCAGTTCGGAACACACGAATTGCGACAAGTCGGGTGTGGACACAATAAATTTGCTTCCGGAGACGTTCAGACAATGGGTGAATGTATCATCTATCCAAAGCATCGTCAGTAAGTGATTGCCCCAATACGTGTACAAAAAGCATCTCATATTCATACCGCGCAGATTGGTGTTAATGAGAGCAGCAACAGCACCCAACTTAGAGAGTGCATAGATCGTCACCACCATCTCCGGGGCATTCGTGGTGAAAACTCCCACGAAGTCCCCGGCATGAATATCCTTGGTCTGAAGCAAGGACGCAAATCTATCAACAACTATATGCACAGTCAGTCAAAGGAGCACACAATCCAGTAATATACGGAGCTCACATACGATCTTTCAGCTGGCTGTAAGTCCACGTCTTATGTTCAAACCACAAGGCCTCAGCTGCACCCTGTCCGTCAACTTCCACCACCCGTTCCAGCAACTTATATAGCGTGGCGGTATCGCCCAGCTGGGCAATCCGCTGACCCAGGCGATTTGCCCATGATCGTTCTTTGTATAGCAATGAGAGATCAGTCGAGATAGAGAATTTGGCGTTGATGTATGCCCCTGCAGCGGCTGAAAGAGCCGATGCAATTGCTATGGAGGGGCCACCCAATTCGGAGAAGTACTCCATTTGGAAGATGATGCTGTAGTAATATCTGTATGATGGGGAAGGATACCGATTACAGAAGACAAGGAATGAACTTCTTCTTCTGGTGTCTCACACTCAATTGTTGAGACGAATTTGAGTCAATTGCGGGACAGATAGTAGCGAATTGGGACATTCAACCCCGCATCAGGAAGAGTATCAATTATAAAAATATGGACATAGCTCCGCTCTGATACGGGGAAATGGGCAAATATAGGAACAGAATTGTGTCATGAAAATCCAAGCGCTCGGAATCTGGGGTCGGGACGTGAGCCACCGAAAGCTGCCGTCCAGTGGTGGGGAATACTAGTTGTTAACTTCATACACTTAGTCTATTTGGTATGTACTTTGTAAGCATGCCTGGAGAAAAGCAAGCAGCGGCAAAAGAATGTTGAGCTGGCTTCCGAGAGCGCATAGATAACGCTCGCGCACGGAGCCAGATTCTTCTTGCATGCTGCAATGCGATTTAGTTCCATCATTTGTGTCCAGCCACCCGCCGATCTACTGTATGGATAGGATACTATATACACCGAGGTGTACTATCACCAATATCCGTCTCATACTCACATCTGAGCACTACTACCTGAGAGCGTCTTCTGACCATAATAATGACTCACTCGGAATGTTGGATGCTCTCTCTTCACTGCGAGTCTTCAGCAAATCTGGGGAGGCAATTCTGGACGCTAAACCGGCCCGTCACTGACCCACACGATTAACCGACGGTAATGACGCTGTATCGGAGACTATCTTACCGGAGGCAGAGAGTGGCCAACTTCCCGCAATACGTGCACTTTCTAGGAAAAGGACCGACAACCGAGGCGATCGGTGTGACGGTATCATACCGCCGTGTAACCAAAAGGCGGCATTTCTCTCGGCTGCCACTCACTCGGTCTGGCCTTTGAAACCCGCTGGGTCTGCAGGGGTTTGATACCGAGACGAGTTTCGGCTCGGTGGCTTTTGCCCAGTAATTTACTGTATTGTCTAACCTTGGGTTTCTGGGAGCCGCGGTTGTTCTTTTGATCCCCGTGTTTGCCCCAGGTTCATAATAATTAAAGATTGTCTTCAAGATAAGAAAATATAGCTGGATCTCTCTTCTTCTCTCATTCCTTATATTCTTCTCTGTCTGCCAAATCTCGAAAGAGCTGCTCCGTTTCCAGAAGCAGATTCGTATCGGTATTCATACGAGGAAAGAGAAAAGAAGCAGTTTAAATCATGTCTTCTGCACAGCAACGATTGACCTCGATCGCAAACCAGCTTTCGGGCCCCGGTGCGGCGTCTGGAAAGCAGAGAGTCTTGTCCAAGAACCCCGACGATATTGTATGGATTTGCGCACTTTTATCATCCGTCTCTGGTAACAGAATCTAACAAGTGGCAGGTGATTACACTGGCCGTTCGGACCCCGCTCACAAAGGCCAGAAAGGGCGGCTTGAAAGACACGACACTTGATGATCTTCTCATCTCGTTGCTGACGGTATTGTCTTCCCACCCTCTTCAGCGCCGACATGTTCTCCGTCTCATATAGCTTCTAGTCCGTCCGCGAAAAATCGAATCTTGACCCCAATCTTGTCGAAGATGTTTGCGTAGGAAATGTGCTGTGCCCCGGCGCAGCTTACGTCGCCCGTTCAGCTGTGCTAGCCGCAGGATTTCCGGTCACAGCTGCTGCTTCGGTCGCCAATCGTTTCTGTTCCTCCGGATTGCTCGCCGTCCAGAACATTGCCAACCAGATCATGGCTGGCTCTATTGATGTTGGTATAGCTGTGGGGGCTGAGAGTATGAGCACCAACGCCGACGGTGGCTCTCCCGAAATGTCCTCCAAGATCATGAACCACCCGATCGCCTCGCAGAATACTCAACCTATGGGACAGACATCCGAGAATGTTGCCTCACAATTCAACATTACCCGTGAACAGCATGACAGGTTTGCCGCCAACAGCTACCAGAAAGCCGAGCATGCCCAGAAGGCTGGATGGTTCAACGACGAGATTGTCCCGGTGAAGACGGTGATTAAAGACCCCAAGACGGGCGAGACCAAGGAAGTTGTCGTCGACCGGGATGATGGTATCCGTTACGGTACCACGGCTGAGTCTCTAGGCAAGATCCGCTCTGCATTCCCTCAGTGGACGCCTAGCGCCACTACAGGCGGTAATGCCAGTCAGATTACCGATGGTGCTGCCGGTCTCATTCTCATGAAGCGATCTCGCGCCCAAGAGCTCGGTCAACCCATCGTAGCCAAGTTCTGCGGTGCTACAGTTGCAGGCCTGGAACCTAGAATCATGGGCATTGGTCCATCGATCGCCATTCCCAAGATTCTTTCCAAGTTCGGTCTGAGCAAGGAAGACATCGACATCTTTGAGATTAACGAGGCATTCGCCTCAATGGTGAGTGGTCATCTCTCGTCCGAGCCATAACCACTCGCTGATTTTGGTATAGGGAACGTATTGTGTCCAGAAGCTGGGCCTGGATGAGGCCAAGGTTAACCCCCGTGGCGGTGCCATGTAAGTCTTGAATCGCCGAATCCAAACCTCATCATGCTGACGATTAGCAGTGCTTTTGGCCACCCTCTGGGCTGCACAGGAGCGCGTCAGGTGGTGACCGCCCTTTCGGAGTTGCGCCGACAAAACAAGAGGATCGCAGTTACCTCGATGTGTGTTGGAACGGTAAGATATTCTATAAATTTGTGCACCCTGGCAGATGTCGAACTTCAGGCTAACAATGTTTATATAGGGTATGGGCATGGCCGGTATCTTCGTCTCTGAGCATTGAGCGTGATATGATATTAATATTGATATTATACCTTGTAAATAGTAGCCTTCACAATGACGATTCTACTTTCAAGTTGACTTGGAAAATAATCTGGAGCTCACTTTGACTCGCTTCAAGCCTGTAAAGAACAAGAGCGATTGCGGTGCAGTAGTAGTTGTGTGGATTGAAAGAAACGTACCATATAATTATCTAGATGTATGGACGTTGTAAATCAATAACGGCTGCGCTTCATCCGGGGCGGTGGGTCATCCCCATGCCATGAGGGCTTCGGACTCCATAACTTTAGTGAGACGGGTAAGACATCCGTAGGGCCCATCGAAAGACAGTTGAGGTCACGATAAGAAAGACAAAACCATGATACAGCCCTTCGGCATGCATTTCCATATGTTCACTCTATGGTATTGTTTGAGATAGGGATCCATGGGATCTGATGATCTAGGACAAATGGTTCCTAGTGCCAAAGTAAGGTCAGGCGCTAGTCCATCACGTGCATTCCCAATGCGTCCGTCGTCATCGGCGGCTGCCAAGACAGGAACCGCCGTCCCATGACACCGCTCTTCATCCTCTCTTGCCTCGTCTTGTCTCTCTTATCTGTACCTCTGGTGATTTCCCGTCCGTCAATACTCTCTCGAATTTACTTCATATTAGCTTAGCTAGTCCTCCGCTATCACTTGATTCTTATACGCAACGAAAATTGCTGCTTTGTGCCCCTTTGCGACCATGAAGCTCTTATCAACCGCCGCTACATTCCTCCTCTGCGTCGCCCCCTTCTCTACCGCCCGGTCTCTGGACTTCTTCAACTCTCAAACCCCCATCCAAGCAGAGAATGAGGCTGTGAAAGGCGATAACCCCCTCGAATACTGCAATGATCCTTCAAGCTATCTTTTGCAAATAGATCATGTCGACCTAACGCCTAATCCTCCTCTGCCGTACGCTTCAATTAGCCTGTCTTGCCTGAATTGGATCGCATACTGATCGCTCTATAGTGGAAAGACTCTCATCATCCAAGCTACGGGTACCCTGAATGAGAAGATTGAAGAGGGCGCTTATGTGAATCTGGAGGTCAAATATGGCTTGATTACTTTGGTCAGGCAGACGGCCGACCTGTGCGAGCAGATCGTCAATGTTGATCTCGAATGTCCTCTGGAGAAGGGCGAGATGACCTTGACTAAACAAGTTGAGCTGCCCAGGCAGATCCCTCCGGTACGTGATTCCCTATGGTACACCACTATCGATGTCGAAATTAACCAGGTTATGATCAATCAACAGGGCAAGTACACTGTGCATGCCGACGTTTACACCAAAGACGATAAGCATGTTACCTGCCTTCAGGCCCGTAACATCGAGTTCAAGGCGGGCTTTATGTGAAAGCTGACTCGGTACTTCTGAGTACATGGCCGCGATGCATAATTTAGCGCTGTTGACGCTGGATGTCCTTGCGTTATATCGCCCATAACGAGTTGACGTTACTACTTGCATATGTTGTCGTTTTGTTTCTCCGCTTGCCACTACTTAAGCCCGCTTTTATCCTCGAGCCTCACAGTGACATGCCAATGTTTACGAAAGCCATGCCACGCTCTACGATTGCTGCTAACATTTCGTTGCGCTACGTCTTCAACGGTGTTTTGGGTCTTGGTTTAGTGCCACATATTGTAGTCCATCCTTATCACTGTTATTATAATCCGTGACCTTCTTTTACTGGCATTACCTAGCATCTGTACTAAAATGCATTTGAAACATTGATCCCATTGATGGCAGAGCCCATGGAACGTGCTAGTAAGTAGCCAGGCTTGATGACCAGCGTAGCGAAAAACCTGGTACGAGTGGCCTCTGTGAACTAGGTGTTGTGATGCACAACGATATAATTGGGTATCTTCCCCTCCGCCTTCGAGCTAACTCTCATTCCATCTGTATACTTCGTGAAACGGCAAACAAGAGATAGGGCAATGAGATAACACCACCAGATGGTAATACATATGAAACCTCAAATCCAAATTGAAAGCGCGTTGTATCTACTCTCCAAACAGTCGTCGCACCCGCTTGAGTACACTGTCCTTTTCAGGGTCATACGGGTGGTCCTTGCTCGGGATCTCGAGAACGGCAGGGAAAGCCTCGGCGTAGGAATCGACGCTGTGCCGGATACGCTCTGCGATCTGTATTAAAATCGTCAGCGGCGAGCTATAAACACGCTGGAGATGGTATAGGTTGCAGGCGTTGCAGGTTAAGGACACTGCGAAGTGTAACAAGGCACATACATGCTGGTTGATAAGGACGATGGCGATATCTTTCCTCTCCTGAGTGAAGTTCTGGAATGCTTTCTCGATCGCGGCGGTCTCAGTCTTCGAGTCTACCACAAGGAAGTTTCGCTGGGCATCTGCGCCATCTGTGACATGCTGCAATGTATCATGTTAGTTGTAGTCGCATGTTTGCCGTTATCCGGCTGCCGTGGTTTGAGGATACGTACACCGACACCGGCAAGGAGGAGACCTGTTACAGAGCTGTAAATAAACGGTTAGCGGAAGTGTTTCTCTCATAAGGTAGTGGTGGTGTGGCTTACTCTTCATCTCCGATGACCGCAAGGAACTGCCGGTCCTAGATAAGGTGTATATGGTGAGTGACTACTGGCAATGAGGAGGGGGTGGAAACCTCGGGATATTACCTTGTATGATACGGCCGGAGCCGCCATGGTTATAAGAATAGGGAAGAAGCGGGCGTAAAGACTGTGAGCTGCTTATATATTGGCGAATTTCTGCGGCTACAGTTAGCTCACGTCGCCCTGAGCCGATAAAGAAGGTAAATCGGTCCCTGGCGAGTCTGGCAATCCCGACTGTCTTGCGGGAGACGTCGTCATAACGGCGCCGGTGTCGCTTATCTAAGCCGGGGTCGCGCTCCACCCTTTGTTGTTGACAAGCGGAAAAGGAAAACTTCGGCTTCAACTAACATATTCACCAAAGGTTGGTCTCTATATCCTCTGTATCTTGCTGCTCTATCTGCGGGCTATGGCTCTAACTCTTGTTCTCTGATTATCAAGCATCCCGCGTCGCCATTCTCACCATGCCCCGGCTTGTCCGCCGCCGACCGTTGACGGAGCGCATCAAGTCCTACTTGAATCCTCTGGACTTTCTCTTGTGGCTGTCGGAAGAGATCGATACTCATGACTGGGACCAGTTTGAGAAGAACTGGGCGCTTCCCCTGGGAATAACATTGAATGCGGTCTTTCTGATCGCCAGGGCCAACAGTCAGTCGTACGGCAGTCAAGCCATAGATGATGTTTTTGGCGATGATGGAAGCACTCCATGGCTCAGTTGGTTTGTATGTGAACGCCTCATTGACTTCGAGTTTGCTTTGACTAAATATACGCCTCTAAGTGCTGCATCGCTAATGTAAAGGATGATAGTCTTCCTTCATAGTCCACCTTCTTACCACCTTCACCGCGTTCAACGCCTTCTATACATTCTACCGGAAGCGACATTATCGCATGTTTGAAGCATCAATCGATCAGGCTCCTGCAACTCCCTCCGCTCACCGAGTTCGTGTTAATTCGACTCCTGTGACCGCTTCGCCACTGAAATATCTGGCGGATACGATAGCCAGATCGGCCCAGTCGAGAGCTCACCCGGACGCACAGCGAGATGTATGGGAACTTGCCGTCTGGGATCCTCTACCCATTTGCATTCGATTGTTCTGCCTCTTCAGTCCTGGACATGTCTTGGTATACTGGGTTTTTCTACCCACTCAGCTATCCGATCCTCGACCAAGCGTGACGATTGTGACCACTATCTTTATAGCGGCACTCCTCTCGGTACAGATGACGTTCCTTTCCTCGTCCTATACCCAGCAAGCAAAGGATTCTATGGTGGTTCATAAGGAGGTGCTCCGTGAATACGACACTAAATACGTTCATCCTCGTACTCAGCCTTTGATGAGAGATGTGGCCACTCAATTCTCCGAGTCCGATCCCGATGTTAAGCAGAATAAGGTTGACACCTTCACGCCCACTGTCGTGCTTCATAGGGGCTTCAAGACAAGCCCAAATCCCAACTATGTCAGCCATGTGGACCCCGAGGGCCGATCATCTGCGCGCCAATCCTTTGCAGCGACACCTACTGGAGTATCTCATCGTGCTGCCGCGTTGCAGACCCCAAGCCACCTGCGGGATGCTTCTCCTATTGTGCGAAACTCTATCTCTGCAATTCGCCAGCCCCAATTCCGCCAGACACCGACGACTACGGGTGATGGCGGAAGCCTTGGCATTTACTCGCATGCCAACTCGCCTCTGAAGAAGTCTACGTCAGCCAATCTTGAACGTCGTCTTCAGAGCAATGGCGATTTCTTCTACAAGGAACGGGGAACAAGTGCAATGAGAAGGCCTTCTAGTCCCCTCAAGAGAAGTAATGTCCCCGCAGGCAGTCCCTTAACACCGGGACCGAGACGGAGTCAACTGGACGCACGCCGCGACAGTGGACGGTTTTAACATGGGTTGTTCGATTAAGGCGTCATGCGCCAACCATAACAGTAGCATGGAAGGAGTAACTCATGTATAGTATGCTATAACATCATATCGGCGTTGTGATCAGGTCATCATTAAGACCGGGTACCTCTTGTGATCGTGGACTACTTTTGGAGCATCAGGTGCGGCGTTAATCATCCACGCTTTCGGATCCTTGTTTCTCATTAAAAGCTTTTTCAATGTCTTTTGACTTCCCGTTCGCCCTTGTGCCACTTGCTTGGATTATCTTTCTGAAAACAATGGATGCCCGGGCTCTTTTGAGAATGTAGGCTGGGGTTTACTGATGGCCGATAGTGATCCAGCCGCTGAACAACATGCTTAATACGAGGCTGGACGACTTCAAATTAACGGATATCAGTTCCGCATTCAAAAGCAATTCTACATCGGCGCATCCTTGACCCTCGTTGTTATCATACTTTATATCGCCGGCAGCATCTAACTAGTCACTTCTTATGATTGCACCTTCACGTTCGTGAACCTGTGGCGTTCGCTGTTTCCACCCCAGGAATTCGCAAGTGACAAATGGAAGCAGCAAGTTCAGCTGCGCGGTGCTTGCAGTTTCCATACCGAACTATGTCACAGGTCCAGGCCTACATTCCTTGGTGACCTCTACCCGCCCGTTGCTACATTCCTAATAGTGGCCAGCCCTGGCGTACTATACATTCCACCCCTTATCATTACATACATTATCCCTATCCTACCACGCGGAACGCGCCCAGTGATGGGGTTGCCCTGCCAGCTTTCTTTCCAGACCCCTGTCGCGTTCCGATGAAACCACACCACCGACCAAACGCCCAACGCCTGCACGGGCGTAATTCTGCACACACTCGTCCGGAGAAGAAGTGCATTGAGAGATATTCCAGCGCTGGTGGAGGAATGGGTCATTGTTTTGACGCTGTCTGGCTTTAAGGTCGAAGCTGCTTGGGCTGCAGCAGTCCCCAACGGGTGAAGATGGAGGAATTCTTGCATCTACCAAATGGACATCTGCTAAATCTTCAGCCTCGACCCCGCCACGGCAAGCGGACAAGAGTCGGTAACGAGGTACAAACACCGACGCGAGTGCAAGAATCTACGCCCAAACCTGACGAACGGCACAAGTCTGGAAGCAAAGAGAGCACCGGCGCTTCGCCTGGCACGGCTCCGCGAAAGAGAACCCCTACAAAACTACCCCTTCCAAAGTCTTTTACCGACAAGGAGAAACAGCAACCAAAGGAAGCCCCCACAACTTCTGAACAGAAAGGTCACCGTGCAGATAGAGTTCTCCAGCCGAAGAGGTCATTCGGGACACTGCAGCGTTCATCACCCAAGAGATCAGACAACGATCGTGACCAATACTGGCGGAAAGTAAAGGATAGATTTGAAAAAGAGATTCCCGGAGGGTCGTTCACTAAAGAGAAGCCGAAGGAATACTACCAGGAGGCCTACCGAAAGATAGTTTCACTGGCCAACTCCCCAAGACAGGAGATTGCCAAACAAAAACAGAAGCTGGCAGGAGGGGCGCCTCGGGGCGACAGAACAGTCCTCCAAGGCCCGAGCCCTCCAACAAAGATTCCAAATTCCAACGACGGTCGAACAAATTTCGGGCGCAGTGCGAGAGAAGGAGGAGCAGGTCTCTCTACTGGTCAAAGAAAGCGGCCAAGCAATGGAACTCAACGAACGCATCTGAACTTCAGCAACTCCACACCGGCAATATCATCTGAAAGGACAGACACCAACACCGACTCCTCCGAACACTCACACCCCTCAGTTTCTCCGATATCTGCCCCGTCCAGTTCCCTAACCGAATGGGAAGACAAGTTCGTTGTCAATATGCCCTCAGCTAAGGAGCCAAACCCGCCAATTATGAGTACTCAACAAATCTCCGATTTCCAGCAAAGCATCGAGAAAGTCCATAAGGAAGGCGGGGAGATGCTGGATCCGGACACCCTCCCCAGCCCGCGTACCAGAACTCCCGAGGACGGCACTAACAATCCTACTGGGCAAGAAAAGACGTCAACGGGCCTTGATGGTCAGGATACACGTATCGGCCGCCCATCTGAAGTCAGTGACTCCAACTGTTCAGCTGGACACCGCCGGTATTATAGCCCAGAAGAGGTCGGAAAGCAACGGTTCAGCACTATATGGGAAGAGGCTCCCGCAAAATCTGCAAACAAAACCCCCGCTGCAAACCCAGATGGGTCTTTTTTAGGGTGCAAGGAGATCAATGGGCCATACGACAAGAACCCAGACGAGATCCTGCTCTTCTCGATGACGGACGAGCGCCCCAGAATGATAGACATCCCGTCCGGACGGTCCAAGATGTCAAAGGAAGGGAAGCGAATCACCAGCAATCGTGCGACGTCGACATCTCCAGAGAAAGCTGTCGTTCAAGAAGAATGGAAACCAATTTCTCAGAATTTGAAACAAGCCCAATGCTCGAAGTCCTTGCCGAAGACAATGTGTCAAGAAGCCAAATGCCGCCCGCCGGAGAAGATGGAGGTCTCTGCCAAAGCGTCTATGACAGAGAATCTGGATCCGTCAGAGAACACAGCCAAGCAACACGACAAGCAGAAATTGGGCCGCAAGTCGGACGATGTTTTCATTATCACACCCACTATCACACGCACTATGGTGACCATGGCAGATTTGAGAAGCAGCCCAAAGAAATCAGACGCGCAGGAGCCCACCTCTCGCGCCGCAGGAGAGATAATATCGGACTCTCGAGTAAAACAGACAATCAGCAGCTCGACATCAGGCTTGCGAAGGGCGACCCAAAATTCTTGGGGAAAGTCAAATGCGCCATGCGCAATATCTTCAACTGCAGTCCCTCCTACCAATCCACATCCATCCCCTCAAAGTCGAACAGAATCCGACCGTACCTCTCCACAAAGACCTCGCGCTATCCGTGGGTTCATCCGTACGCAAGGGCTGCCCAGGCCCAAAACAGGAAACTCCGGTGAGCCCGTGCGCTATAATCAGCAACCCTATGTTGCCAGTGTATCGCCTAAAAGAGACAATTCGAATTCATTGAAGAGCGCGTCGGATACGACACTTGTTGAGAAGCCGTCGACCCCCGAGACAATTTCTCCCGCGGCCTCGATAAGCAAAGACAGGGTTAGGCAGGACAGCGTTTCGCAAGAGCCTGAACCTATTGAAGTTGCTGAACTGGATGGGCAACAAGTGTCTGATACAGCAAAAGAGTTGTTCTACTCTAAGATTACTGATTTCAATACCGATCTTCATACTAACGGGTTGCCTACCAACAACAAGGAAGCGCCAAGTCAGGAGATAATGGGCTATGTCAGGGATGCTCTTATAGAACTCTCTGGCCAGCTGCAAGGTCTCTATGACGAAATCATGGCCAATCGGCACTCCCGGGCTATGCTAGTGAAGATCGCCTTTAATAACGTCCTGAAGATGATCGAACACTGCTTGCATGTCCTCAAAGATCTTCTGGGAATCCTGGCCCTTTACAATACAACAGGATCCTGGCCAAAGCCGAACCGCGAGGACTTCGCCCGGTCATTGATCGATCTTTGCAAAGCTATGGTCTACCTCATTGCCCTTGGGTTCGTCATGATGATCATCGGCCGAGCAGCCGGATACGTGGTCCTTATCGGAAGCTGGATCGTGTGGTTTGCAAGACCCTTTGCTTGGTTGCTAGGGGCATTAGGAAGGGCTCTATTGGTATAAGCTGGTCTTTCGATGGGTTTGATAGGTTTGATTGTTGATATAAAGCGGCCCTTAGCTCGGGTTATGCTAAGGCAACTCCAGTTTCTGATTGCTCGCTTCCATTTATTCTTTCAAGCGCGATGGGGAAGCATATGAATGTTCCTTGCTCAACCGTGTGTCGATGTGGGTTGGTTATCATGTATCATGTTTCTCCAAGTATTCTTAACGTAATGCGGTGTGTATCCATTATTACCTCAGCCTGTACCTAGTCTAGTCTAGCGACTTGTTCAATGTTAAATGAAATGCATCTTGCTTCATGTATTGTTTTCCTTCCATACCATAGACATAAAATGCATTAATCTCTCGGAATAATAAAGCCACCTCTAGTACTACTTGAACCTGATCTCAAAAATATTCAATGCATAGCTATATCTGATACTTACTAGCAGCACGCATCGGGCTCTATCGACTCCGAAAATAAAGGAACGAAATATAGAATAGAGAGAAAATCATGCTTCTATTGACTTATAAAAGAGAAATGCTAGGCATTATAATACTCGCCTAGCCAGCACCTGTATTTCACCACCACCACAACGAGGATGCATGCAATAATGTTGAAGGGAGAGAGGAAAGATGAAAGAAAACCCGGATATATAAGGTAAGATGCGAATAAGAGGGAGGAAAAAGAGAGAGTTGATTAAGTAGAGAGCCCAAGAAAGGGAAGAAAAAAAAATATCAAATGCTCCATTTAGAAGAAGACTCCGTTCCAAATCCCATGTTGAAGAGGATCACTTTTTGTTGAAATGCATAAAGCCCAACTCCGTCATCCATAGTGTGTTGAAGATCGTAAATACCCCCGGAAATTTATTTTCTGTAAGCCGTCTCTTTTGGTAGAGTTGAAGAACAAAGAGAGAGTAATAGAAATGAGATAAAAAAGCTCTTCACTTTTTTTGGGAAAAAGAGCTTTATCATGAATAGATAAAAATAGTGTTGAAGATGTTATTTTTCCATGCTCGATGGGGTTGCAAAAGCAAAAATCCGAAAATTGGGGGTTGGGGGTATAATTTTGGAAGGTGAAGATGTCATGTTGAAATAAAAGAAACGCTCAGGGAAGAAATCGTTGAGAGGTCTTCATGGTCGTGCCGCCGTAAAACGTTGCAAAAGCCCGGGAGTGTTCATTCGGGCAGGTAATCGTTGAGGTTGATATGTTGAATTAATAGTATATGTTGAATTAGGAAGTCGTAAGTGAGGTTGAAGAAAAGCATATAGTGTATGGCGGACTGTCCCCACGGGGGCTGCAGGAGCCACATCTAGTTTTTCACTGCAAGTTCCGGAGCTGCTCCGTCAGTCGCGCCATTGGTCGTTCCGTTTGTTGCTCCGTTCGTGTGAGCTTTCGGCTCACCGTTTTCAACGGGGATTTCGGTATCAAGTTCGCGGACGTCCAGGTCCTTGAAGAGATCGAAGAGGTTGCTGGTGTTGTGGAAGTCGTTGTTGACTGAAAGGTTCGTGTTAGCTATCATTATTTCAACAAGGGCACTATATCGCGAACTCACCGATGTTGACAAGGTGCCAGTTGTCCATCACGCCCTGAATCAACTTCCTGCTGGGGCTGGAGGCATCATGGCATTTGGCCCAGTCGTCACCTAGACGGTACGCCTCGTCCTTCCAGGCCAGGAAACTGACAGTCTCCACGATTGTGGGCTGGACGATCTCTCTTCCGGCGAAGATACCCCAGGTCAGGGCATTGGGGCTATCACGGGTGTTGGTGCGCAGTTCACCAGTCTTCGAGACAGCATGGTACGTAAGATCACCATTCTTCTCGATGCGAGCGATCAGCTCATCGATCAGGTAGGGCGGGACCAAGAGTTCAAGATATGCCTTCTGGTAAACATATCCATTCTTCGGTCCCCATCCATACACGGGGTGGGAAGACTTGACACCGTTCACTGCCGGCTGAGAGTTGATCGTGAAGAGACCCTTCTGGTTCAGGTCAATGAGACTGGTCTTGATCGCGTTGGCTTCGGTAGTGATGGGGGTGTCGCTCCAGGGCAACCGGGCCAGCTTTCCTTCGAGGAAATTGACAAAGATATGGGTAAGATCACGAAGAGACTTGGGCTCTCCCCACAGCTTGATGTTCTGCTCGTTTGTGCCCTTGAGGCCGATGCCATAGCTGTCGAGTTCGCCGAAAGCAGGAGAGCGAGAATCGGTCCAGCGACCGTTGGGGAATTCATCCCAGGTCTGCGTACGGGCGATGTAGGAGGAGTTCCGGTTCCTCCAGAAGATCGGGCGAACATCCTCGGCTCTGCGGTTCAAGCCAAGAGATGGCCTCCAAGGCAGAGCTCTCTGGAGTGGTGTCTCTTCGGAAGGCATGAGGTTGAGTTCGTCAAGGACCAATTGTGTGGACTGCGCAAGGTTCATTGTGTAACTAGCCGACCCCGTTAGCCATTGCCTGAACGAATTAGTCAAGGCAGACGAAAGGAAACACTTACAAGTGCAGGTGGTTAATACCAGCCGCAATGAGCCTCCTACACATGTCTGCAATCAGCCGCTTCCCGATGTCCCTTACAGCAGCGTCGTCGTTCTTCACAGGTTCCAGTGCCTCGAGCCAGTCCGGGGGAATGCGAGTTTTGGTCCAGTCCGATCGGCGGATGAACGCAGCGTAGGTTTGAATGGGCATGATACCAGGGATAATGGGCACATGGACGCCCCTGTCCCTGCACTTCTTGACCCAGCCGATGAAGTTGTCCGTGTCGTAAAACATCTGCGTAATAACAAAGGATGCTCCAGCATCGACCTTCTCTTTCAGGTGGTCGATCAACTGATCCACATCCGGGTTGTCATCCGCACCTTCCGGATAGCCTCCCACACCAATATCGAAGTGATTGCCATACTTGCTCCTGATGTACTTGACCAAGTCTTTCGCATAACGGAAGCCTCCGTCAGCAGCTTCCCAAGCCTCCTTGTCACGCGGAGGATCTCCACGAAGAGCCAGGATGTTGGTGCAGCCTGCTTTGTAGGCCGCCTGGAGCGCGGCGTCCACCTTCTCCTGGGGCATGTCCGTGCAAGTCAAATGCATGCATGTCTCCAAGCCATACACCGACTGGGCAACGTTGACCATCTCACAGGTCAGGTCCGATAGTCGGCCGCCAGCCCCCCACGTGATATCGATGAAAGAAGGACCTAATGCGTGCATGCGATCCATTCTGTCGTAAAGATTCTGAACACCTTGGGCCGTCTTCGGGGGGAAGAACTCGAAGGAGATGCCCGTCCTTCCGGCCGCTTCATTTTGAGCGAGCTTTTCTTTGATGTGCATGGCGGAAAGTTACACACTAGTGGTTGGCAGAGTAGGTCAGTTTCTGATGAACCGGCAATTCAGGAGCCTGAACAATGGTTGTCTGCTTAGTAGGAGAACTGGACTTACACGTCCCAGACCACTTCAGGAGAACAAGATTACTCTCGAGCAGGAATCATACACGTCCTGCTTTCAGATGCAGTTCAGGTACTGATGTCGTGACTCTGTGGCTCACCGGTTCCACCAGGGACAGCAAGACCACTTTATAAGGGAGGGAATACGGGGATGAAAATCAATTTTATATGAAGCTGCACCTTGTCAAACTTAGAAATCCCCGACGAAAGCAACAAAAACGACGGACAAGAGAGAGGAAGAGAAAGGGAAGAAGTAAGCAGCAGGGACAGCAACGAAGTAATCGAAGCCGGTGGAAAAGGTGGGGTCTGCTTTTAAGCCGCCGGTGTGATTCAGTTGGGCGAGTTGAAATCCATCCACCCAGCATTCGAAGAGGGGGCCGGCCTTCGGAGATGGTGGGCCGGCACGTGCCCCAGTCTGACTGTCCCTTCTTATTAATGGTTGTTCCCGCAATACTTTACTCCGTAGTTAGATAGTATCATCAATTCTCCCTTCGACAAATTCATCGCAGGCAAGGGATGGCTTTGCTAGGACCGAGTCCAATACACAGCCCTTTTCAATGGACTTACTTATTTATACTACTAAATTTTCCAATTTAATGCGAAAAGATCCTACATGTTCTTATCTAATATCCCTGTGTCTTTGCAAAAGATAGTTACTATCTCTCCGCCGGTTCGGAGTCTAACTTCCCGCGTCCCGGGAAACACCGAACAAGAGGGAGGGAAAAAGAAAAGAGAATCATAAAAGCCGAAAACAACAACATTAGAAAGTTAGTCTAGATACACACATTAGAGCGTTGAAACCCAAGCTATTCAGTGAATAGGCAGGCATTGATGTAATCTCGGTGGTGATGTTCAGCACCATTGTACTAAGTAGCAGATAGTTACTTAGTATATATTATACTAACACAGTTATGGCTGATAGAAAGTAAGAGTACTAGTATAACTGTACTCAGTTCTGATTGAATCACTTCGCCAGCAATCTAGTACTACAAGACTTCATCTCCGTAATGCCATAGTAGGAGTAACTAGTAAATGTACTATCTTCATAGATATTCAAATCATCCAATCAGTGTGTTTTCCCACTGTTACAGCTAGCTCATTGGCCCGAAATTACTAGCACGCTTATTCTCTCTTGAGCCTGTTAGCGGCATAAGGAGCATAGATAGAATACCCTGCGCAACAAATTATCTTCCATCACTGACTGCTGAAGTTAAGGTCTTGATCAGTTTAGTAGTGATCATGAAAACTAGGCCATTGCATGGCTAGTAAAAATATCCAATCAAATTACAATAAAATGTGACTAACAGCTATTTCTGCATAATGACACGAATATGTCTGATGGTTGCTGAATGCACCTGTGCCCTCGTGCAAAAGCATACCAGATAGTTTGCAGCTCCAACTCGAGCTTGGGCAGCACATCATACATGCCTAAGCTTCATGACAACTGCTCATTTAGGCGAACTTTATGAGGATTCCCCGGCAAGATCAACCGGACTGTAGCACTAGTTGCGGCTGTTGTATCTATACCACTATATCAGGCTGGGGTTCAGCTCAAAGGGGCAAAAGACCACCATCAGGAGATATAGACGGCTTATTGTGAGCACCAAACAGGCTGGACAACCTTACTAGGTTATAATGATAAGTTCTGACAGGCGCTAGAACGGAAAATTGCGGTTTTCCATTGTTTATCTTTCCAAAAAGTCTTCTGCAACTCTGTGCTTTCTTACAAAACAGCGAGCATATCTGTAACACTTCTGCCATTGGGTCCTGATATGCTATGCAAAGCCACATCAGATTAGTAGATTAGCTT